TGGCAGCCTCTGCTGTGGACGCTGGCTGACGAAGCCTCTGTGGTGCTTCCCGTTGCTCCTGTGACTCAAACCCTGCCCAGGCTTTACAGAGTTTATTCTGGAAGGGGCTAGCTGTTCTGTGCGGTACACTTTTGCTCCACATCTAACATCCAGCACAGCTGAGCTGGCTGTTTTCTGTTCTTTTTCTATGCCGTCACTGCTGCCTGCCTCAACCACACCCGCCCTTACACCAGCAGCAGACTGAAGTATGCCTACTGAAGTGCTGTGTGCAGTCCTCACCGCAGTTAATGCTCAAGGTTTCATGCTGTACTGTGGTAGAGAGGAAATACTCTCTATTCAAGTCTGTGAGGTCTTCTTTTTTGTTACTCTCTGAAGTCGGTTTTCATGATCAGCCCTTTGCTTAAAAACTCCTTTAGGTTTTTGAAGATTTAGACCTGATTACTTTGGAGTCATGTGTCTTTTCTTTGATCCTTGTGATCAAATTTTGATTTCTACACAAGGCAAGATTAACAAAAAGCATGATGCAATAAGATGAATTGCTGGTCACACTGGGCTATCCCTTTCTGAAAACTGAAACACAGAGAGTGTGTGTGGGTGCGTGTAGTCATCCTTTCAGAGCTGGGAGGGCCATGACAGGAATGGAGATGGAGCCCTGGTTGCCCCTACCTCGTTCCCCTCCTCTCTGCTGCCTTGAGCAGCTAGAGTCTCAACATTCCTCTTTTGGGTGATAATATGAACCAGGGAGGGGCGGAGGAGCAGAGGGTTTGCATAAAGTGGTATCACAGTGATTTAGTTGCAACAACAAATCATAACTGTTGCCTGCTGTAGCTGCTTTATACAGTAAAACCCATAATTCAGCTCACAGAACGACAAACAGAAAGGACAGGCTTCCTGATTGCCAGATTGCCACATAGACAGTTTCATGTTTTAAAGTGATGGATGACGAGTCTGACATGAGCTGAGGATGTTTCTACAGATGAATGCTTTGTCAAGGTTCGGAAGCGACGCAACCAAAAACAGCTGAAAGCAGCCAGTTGATGACATGAAGTGTGATTATTTCCTATTGTCTAGACTTTGCTGCTGATGATAATTCAAAGCAGATCATCAGCAACCTGTTAGTAATTATACTTTGAAAGTAACCACCTAACCTTGTGAGCAGGCTGCCTCACTTCATCACACTCCTTCCTGCTGCCTAAATATACAGCATTGCTAGGCAGCAACCCATTTCCTTACACAAATATACAGGGCTTTTGCAGGCTCTTAACCCTGACAGGGATCCTCCTACAAATCACATGTTTGGCCTCCCTGGTCTGAGCCTCTCACTGTCGTCGTGGGCACTCCTCACCTCGCGTGCTCTTCTTATGCAAGTGAAAACTGTGGTCTTCATATCAACATTTCCCCACCCATTGTTTCAGCTGACAGTCTCATCCAGAGTGGCTTAGAATCAGATGGTGGCTGCTTCTATAAACATGTAAACATGCACAATATGCAGTGATGGAAGAAGTACTCAGAAGTTTGACTTTATGAAAGTAGAAATATCACAGTTTACAAGTACTCCGTTACAAGTAAAAGCCCTTCATTTAAAATGTTCAAAGTACAAAAGTATTAGCATCAAGACGCACTTAAAGTACCAAAAACATGCAGTATGTTACATTATTGGATAAGAATTAATTATGCATATTGTGTTCATTACTTTAATGTTGCAGCTGGTAAAGGCCTCTAAAATATAGTGAAGTCCAAAGTATGAAGTAGCAGAAAACAAACACACTTAAGTAAAATACAGGTACCTCAAAATTGTGTGTAAGTACAGTACCTGACTAAATGTACTTATTTACTTTCCACCCCTTACAATTTGTTCTTTTACTCTTTGGTTATATTTTGTAGTATTTTCCTATCTTATTCTATTGTCTTCCTGTGTTTTTTCCAGTCCTCCCCGTCACACTGTATGACAGTTTGTCAGTAGTAGCTGCTGTTCTCAAATTTCAGCCTGTGGGGTCTGGCTTCAGGACTTGCTCTCTGCGGTCTGGGTGGTTAGGGTCGTCCTGTCGAGTAACACCTATGTAGGTCTGGGAGCTCTTTAGAAGTTCCCCAGCTACAGCGAGCAGCACTTCTGTACTGTCTCCAAATCCACAGTGTCAGGATCATTTTTCTGATAAATATCAGTGCAGGGTCACTAGTGAGCGTTTTCCTTTACCCTGATTGGTCCGGACTTGGTTGCACTCGCATGACCTCGACTTTTCTGAAACACTGCCTCAGTCTTGTCACAAGGCAAACGCGGCATTCACAAATTACAATGCCCCTGCTGTAGGTGGTTTTACTGCTTTCTGGCAGCGGCTGCCCCTGAGGCTCAGCTACTGTAGGATCAACATCTTAGCAGGCCTGACATGAACTGATGGAGGAAGTGTATACAAGCCACTGGTAGTAAATTTAAAGAAGATGAAAAGGGTGATTATAAGATCCTAAATGGGCACTTTGTTTGAAAACCATCATGCTGAGAGCCTGGCCTCTGAACGACCTACGTTTGTTTTTGATAGACTGCAAGTAGGTGCTTTTTGAAGGCCTGACCACAACTGCTTCTATTCTTTCTCTCTCCACTCTTAGCTCCATGGCTACATGGAGAGTGAGCCTTTGACCCTGCAGCTGTTTATCGGCACAGCTGACGACAGGATGCTGAGGCCCCACGCCTTCTACCAGGTCCACCGCATCACTGGGAAGACGGTGTCCACACCGAGCCACGAGGCCTTGCACAACAACACCAAGGTGCTGGAGATCCCACTGTTGCCAGAGAACAACATGCGGGCCATGTGAGTATTAGAGACTGTGCTCACCCAGTGAAAATGGATTCCATTATATTTAAACTGGTTTAAATCAGGTTTAAATTATTTTGTCTAAATATTTTGGGGCAAATCAGTTTTATATACAATTTTTACCAGATCAAAACCCAAGACTTGAATAGTCTCAGAGAGTCTAACAGCAACTGTGTCTCGTTCAAGTCTTAACTTTAATGACTTAAGTCTGTCTCCAGTCCAGGTTTTATGTCTCAAACCTGTTATCTTTGGCAGGAAATGTCACCGTCCTTGGACTAATTTAACCCTCTCAAAACATGTTAGAGTTTCACTTTTCCAACATATTTACAGTCTGTAGATATGACGTTTGATCGTGAAGTGCAGTTTTCTGTGCGTGTCTGTGAGCGTGAGTGCCTCGTTTGTGTTGGGGCTGTACACAGACGAGTGGCTTTCCCATTTTATTAGCCTCAGAGATTAGATCACGGGGGAGGCATAGAGCCACTAACAAGGACCTGGGGTTTCTGTCCAAGCTGCAGACAGTAGCAGACTACTAGCATCAGCTCTTTCTCTGCATTTTGATGCATGTTTAAGTACCTTCCCCCGGGATACAGTTTCCCTTTTCTCACAGTGGACATGCCTCAGAGTTTTGGTGAAGGATTGGTGGGAGATTTACTCATCTTAATGTGCTCTACAGTGTGACATATGGATGTTTTCTATGTTTTACAGAATACAGGCATTATTATATTTGTGAAATAGTTACTCATGATGATTTAAGGGGACAGGTCTTAAATTACATAACTGATAAACATTAGGTCAGTTTTTGTTAGCTGATAATAAAGCCATAATTTTTGACTTGGGATGATCCCAGTGATTGGATTGGATTGGTCTTGTCCTTTCTTTCTAAAACCTTTTGTCTGGCACTGACCGGTCACCCCAGTCTATGGTTTTGCACTCAGCCTGTGTAGAGAGAAGTGAACAGCTGTGGTCCTCAGCATCGACACCTGATTACTCCGCCAGCGGAGCAGACCCTGGTGTCTGGCATGAAGAATGTTAGGGAGTGTTCAAATGTGTGTAAAGGTTGACATTAACTAGGCTTAGAGGAATGCTGCATCAAGTAGCACGGTGATGGAAAAGCCAGAAACCTTTTGGAGAGGCTTGAGGTAATAAAGTATGAAAAAGTTATATGAGTGCTGTGATTAAGTGTCTCTGAGGAAAACTTTGATGCTGTAAAAAAAAAAAAGATGACCTTGGTTGTGGATCTTGACAGAGGTATTCATGATGTAAAGAACATTCCCAGCCATTTGTTTCTATAGAGTTTGGATTTTGTCCAGGAGTAGATGCACCGAGGTGTAACGGCTCTGTCAGTGGTGGTGTTAATGACTGCAGCCTCCTTCTACGCTGATGGAGTCCAGAGTGAAAATCACTAATGTTTTGGCTGCAGTGTTGTATAAATCACAGCCTGATTAACTGTGAGAGTATAGAGGTTTTAAATGTTAAATTGCCTGTTGAGCGGAGAGACTCTGCCAGACTCACTCTTCTTCTTGTGTCTTCACAGAATTGACTGCGCAGGGATCTTGAAGCTGCGTAATTCAGATATTGAGCTGCGGAAGGGGGAGACCGACATCGGTCGTAAGAACACACGTGTGCGGATGGTTTTCAGAGTTCACATCAACCAGGCCACAGGCAGAACAGTGTCCCTGCAAGCTGCATCCAACCCCATTGAGTGCTGTGAGTACTTGCTCTCATATTTGTTTTTGCTTGAAATCATCAAGCCTAAGCTTTTCAGTCCCAGATTTCCTCCTAAACAGAGTTTAAGTTGAATTAGTGGACTTACTGCCTCCCAACATGGGGGTAAGAGCCACACCGAGGGGTCAGACGATATACTCTACTTGGTGGTGCAAGATAATCAGTGGGATATTTTGGATTTTTTCCCAGCTTTACTTTTTGTTAGCCATGCTAGTGACATAGCTCTAGGTGTGGTGTGGTTGTCAGTCACATCCCCCACTTTGGTCCAGATCAAAATATCTCAGCAACTATGTGATGAGTTGCCATGAAATTTACATTCATGTTCCCAAGAAGATGGATCCTAATGACTCTGGTGATCTCCTGACTGTTCTTATAAGACTATCACCAGGTTTTACAATCTGAATTTATCTAATACTTTATTTTATTATCAAATACCTGCTAAATTAATGATATCCCCATTAGAGTGTTTGTGGCGGGTTCGGACACGTAGGTCAAACTTTAGGCCAAATGGCTGGAGCATTCAAATGTCTGCTTTGTTTAATAAATTCAGTTCAATTTTATTTGTATAGCACAAAATCACAACAAAAAATCATTTCAAGGCACTTTAGACCTTACAGCATTATAGAAAAAACCTCCGACAGACCCCGGCTCTTGGTGGGCGGCCTTCTGCCTTGACCGGTCGGGGTGAGTGGATAGAGGTGAGACAAAAGAAGAAAAGCAACAAGACACAACAATCAAACACTGATCAGGTCGATGTGGCTGGGGACTGCACATCAGAAATGTAGAGCTCCAGAGCCAGGGCAACCTGCAGAAAGGAGCATGGAGAGAGAGAGGACACACGAGAGAGGAGACGTAATGGTGGTATATAGATGCATGGAGAGAGAAAAGAGGAGACGAGAGCAGTTTAGGCCTATAATATAATTTCACAGTGTTTGTCTGTGTAAAGGCTTTTTAGGCTTTGCTCAGTAATCTGACTCTTTCCTCCGGACTGGAGTTGACCTTTCTCTGAACTGGGATACAGTCGGGCAGATCAACCACTTTATGTGGTTCTGGCTCCGAGAGGTGCCACAGAAATTAAATCTTATGAGGTAAATGAAAGACAGTAGTTGATGATCTCATCCCCTCGAAATAAAGCATTGTTAGTTTCTGAACGGCTGCCACAGAGCAATCGTTTCTGACCAGAAATCATTTTGTGTGTGACTGTGTGAGACACAGCGACAGACGGGCAGAGAAATAGAGGGATGTGGGAAAGACCAACGATTTCCAAAGACAGAGATTTAGAGTTTTATCAAGATCAGAAAGCAGGAGCATCGAATTACAAATAGATGATCATCAAATGAGAAAAAAAAAGTTTTTGTATCCTGTCAATCATAATGAAATTACAGATCAAAGACATCAAGGTCAAAGTGTTTATTTGTCATATGCACAGTTAGGAAACGTGTTTCCCTGTACAATGAAATTCTTACTTTGCCGTCCACATGAATGCCACACAATACAAATGAAATATAAAGTAGATGAATAAGTAACACAAAATCTAAGGCACTTTAAGCAGCAACAAATGCAGCAATATAATAAAAATATATGAATATAACAGAGACTGTATGCTGCATGGGAGCAGCATGTGCAGCAGTCAACAGTCGATGTGCAATTATGCATGTGCAAACTGAGAATGTAGACAGTACAGGTCGTCAGTACATGACGTATTTCCTGGTAATAAACTCCTGTCAGCTGTTTAGGAGTCTGATAAATTTTACAGAAAAGGTTTACCAATATGTCACAGCAAGTGAAGCTCATTTCAGAAAACCTAGATGCTAACGAGAAAGGCATCCAATAGGTAAGAGACACAGAGAGAAAATATACTCCTAACCCAAATATTTGAGAGCAAGCATCCAGCACAATTTGAGGAAAACACAAATAAACACATCATGAAACCTCTCCCTACTTACAGGCGAAGAGGGAGCTTAATTTCAACATGAAGAAACTGAGGTTTACAGCTTCACCGACAGCTCTGTGAAAGCTGCCTAGGTAGTGATTCAGCTTCAGCCTGGATGCTCAGGTCTGCATGGGGAGTGGGTGTGTAACTGAGTAGTGAGTCTTGTTTCTCCTCTCCCGCCCACAGCTCAAAGATCAGCCCAGGAACTGCCGCTGGTGGACAAGCAGAGCTTGGAGACGAGTCCCGCCCCCGGAGGGGAGAGGATGCTCCTGGATGGACACAACTTCCAGCACGACTCCAAGGTGGTGTTTGTGGAAAAGGCTCAAGGTAAAAGAGGAGATGATGTGGAGTATTAGCTGCATCGTCTCAATGCAGCTGTGTGTGCAGATGTGTTTGTGTGTGTGTGTGCAGATGTGTCTCCGTTGTTGGAGAAACCCCAGGACTGCTCCCTCCCTCTGCTCCCCCCACCATCAAAATATCCTCCATCCTGCCAGAGTGCCACATGTGGTGCACATTAATGTGCTGTATTTTTAACCCAGCAGATTTACATTTGCAGAAGTTTCCATTGCCTGTTCAGCAGAAGAATGGATCACAATGCAACATGTGTTGTCTGTGTGCCACCCCGTGTGTGTGTGTGTGTGTGTGTTTGTGTACCATGCCTCAGTATTTGTTTCTTTTTTCTTACTCTGTGTCTTTTGGTTTGGAGGGAGGGGGACTGCTCCCAGATGTTGATACCGTGAGGTTTACAAACAGCAATTTCCTTGATTAGCTTTAGCAAAGCAACCAAGCCAAGGTTGAGCAATGTAAACATGTGTGATCCTATCAGCCTGGTGACTCATTCAAAAGAAAGGGAAGCCTGATCATTGTTCCACCTGTGAAAGGAAGAATCCAAGGCTGCCCAGGCACACAGGCAGCCCTGCTGCAGCACAATGGAGGAGAGAGGCTGTTTTTCAGAACAAGAAGTGACTATATGAGCAGAGGCCTTGCTCCCCTCTTCCTGAACTCTTTTCAGAGGAAAGTTAGTGAACTAGCAAAGGTGGAGCTCTGGTGAAACCAAAATACATAATATACATTTTCTCTTCCTATATTCTTTGGTCATCTAAAAACGTTCATGCTTCTTAAACTTGGAGGATAAGTTGGCAAGTCACCATTTTAACAGAATTCTGTAGCCTTATGTCCATAATCACACATTTGAACTTTATGCTTGGCTAACTAGCAAAATATTATTGGCAAACAAATAGGTTTGTTACATTTCAATTTGGTAACTGCACTGTTCTATTTCGCTGTCAAATAAATCTAGTTGCTTCTTGGTAGTTTTACTAAACAAATGCATGTGAAGTAACTTCAGTTGGCGAGTGATGCAAGGTATCATTAATAAATCATTTTTTTCTACCTGGGCGTATCACACAGTGCACTTAGAGTTGCAGAAGAAGTGAACAGTTTCTCAGATCAGTGCACAGGAATGATTACATGTTAAATTATTCAAAATATAGAATGAACTTCCTTCCTGAAATGGTCAATATATATTTAGTAAAGTGCATCCATAAATTTGATCCCAGCAAAAGTAAATCTCACCTCACATTCTTAATTTGACCTGCCCTCATTTCAAATAGTACACCTTCTAGTAATTATCTTATCAGTAACATATAAATGAGTGAATTATTCCATTTTTAATAATATGAGTAATGTCCAAAAGCATCTGACAGAAATGATGAGGTATGGTTGAAACGTCCAGGAAAAGGTTGTAGGTACACTGTTTTTTTGTATCAAACTACTGAGTCCTGATTTATTCTCCTGTACAACTGACTTTTTTCATAAATTCTACATTATTTAGTCACAATAACTATGTTTTTAGCTCCACCCCCTGAGGTTTAACTTAATCAGTGAGATTATTTCTGCCACCTCTGTCTCCAAAATATATTTCATGAACTTCAACTCCAGTTTAAAGAGAGAAGAAGGTCCTATTTATGTTGTGGAAAACGAACAACTTCATCAGATTCCTAAAAGTTTGGGTCCAATGTTGCTCTGGGTCTGTCTGAGCACTGAAGCTGGCTGTCTTTAGGGCCATGTGCAGCTCTAGACTGATGCTGATGGGTGTGCTCTCTTGTTTTTGATGAGGGTTTCCCTGCGTCTGGCACCAGCATCAGATTCCTGGGCAATCCTACCATGGAAACACCCTTAAGCCAGGCTTCCACAACACTGCCCCCCTGCTTCCCCCCCATCCTTCCACCTCCCTATCCAAGCTGCCTCCGTGCCACCAGCTCCCGGTTCATTAACTCTGTGAGCTGTGGGCTCCCTACGGATCTGCTGCTGCCTGTACAAATAGATAGGTAAATAGATACAGCGACAGTGTCATTAGTCTCAGCGGTGAAATGGCAACACTGCTACAATAGCATATAGTATCCTAAAGCTAAGAAATATATCTTGTTTAAAGGTGCATATTTAAAAAACATGCAACTCATCTTTCAGATCCTGATGTAGAAGTAGAAATCTAATATGCCTTTATTGTTAATTTACTGGTGCCGAAGCAGAGCTCTGAGAAACAGTTTAACACACTCATGAATCGACAGTCGTGGTTTCACAAAGAGCAATGAAAGAAAGAATTTTCCTGCAAATTTTCCAATAAAATTCTCTCACAAAATAATGTTGACAAAGCTGCAGTATCAGAACATGTGGGCAACACTTGAGTGTTTGCATGGATGCTCTGCATGTGTGTGTGTGTGTGTGTGTCACAGTTTGTTTTGTAGTTACAGGTAGGATGTGTGACAGAAGATGCTGCCAGCAAACCAAAATTTTCATTTGTTTTAATTTCTGTTTTAGTGTCTGATGGTCTAAACGATGTTCGAGCACTGCTGGGGGAACACTGGTGTGTGTGTGTGTGTTTGAGAGAAATGATGCGAGAGAGCAACACTGGCATATGTTTTTGTGTGCATGTGCAGTTTCATAGTGATGTTTTTGACTGTGTTGTTGTTGCTACCCATGACTCATGCCAGGGAAATCCCTGATTCCCCCGTTGTGACACATCCTCTGTCACCTGCTCTTCAGCACAGTCTCTGAAGACAGTAACAGGGGGTCAGCTTAGCTCTATCACACCCTCCTGCCTTAGTATAGCCTCAGTAGCAATAGCTGAGATAGCATCAGGTCACTTGTCACTCCTGGATACAGCCAATCAGTCAAAAGAGATTACTTTATGACCTTGGCGCTGCAGACATCGGCTTGTAATCTAAACCCGACTTGGTTTCACCTTGCTTTCATTTGCCCCGGCCTAACCAGGAGATGCTGTCTCTGATAAGTCACAGTTGCTCCATTTGGGAAATTAGGCTCTGCTGTCCCTTATTCACATCCATTTACTCTGGTTTACTGCTGGAATAATCTATAAGTACAGGCTAAACTGCAAACAGGAACGAAAGAGTGAACACAGTGGAAACATGTTTTCTTTAAAAGCTATACACTATGAGTCAATTTCTGAAATTTAATAAACTTATAAACCTCACATGCAGGGGTGGAACTACAGGGTGGCCAGGAACCCCATTTGAAATGCATGTAAAAGTAAATTAAGCCCCTGATTTTATGAAATAATAAACCATACATGATTAAGAATCAAATAGTTTATTCTGCGTAAAAAGGAGATACGCATAGTGCTTTATTTAGCTAACTTTGGTTGCGCTCCATATTTACTCCCAGCCGGGGACATGGTCGCTGCACTTTGGGGTGGCCGGTGCCATCCCTGGCCACCACCTTGGCAAATTCTGTTAAATATTGTTCATTTGTATTTGTATATAAATATTTGTAATGGATTGTATTGTTTACTGCCTGTTAATACTGCTTATTTTGTTATATCACACAGCCTTATGCTGATTTACTGTTTACTTGCCCCTTGCATTGGGATATGTACATACACATTGAGAGCCAATGTACCAGAGTCAAATTCCTTGTGTGTCCAACACACCTGGCCAATAAAGCAGAGGGTGAAAGTCTTTAATAATCTATTTCTAATAATTATTTCTATGAAGACATATTTACTTGCAGTTGTGTTATGTCTTTTAAAAATCCGCATAGTCTTGTCATGTAGAGTGTATATGTGTGTATGTTTGATTTACTTTTTATTCCCCTATAGTCTTTATTGTAGTTTATTTGTTTCTTTTCCTCAGTATTTTATTAAAGTGTGGTTTTCTGCTCAGCGTTTCCTCACTGGAAATAGCTTGATTTTAGTGTGAGGAAATCCTTGTCGAGGAGAAACCCCCTAATGAAAAGAGCACTCTCCCATCTGGCCTGTTGCACTGGACAGCTGCCTGGTCTGCTGCAGTCTCTATCGTCGCGATCCCTCAGTGTCTTTGTCGCTTCGGCCAAAGGTAGCTGTTCTTTTATGAACCCATCTTCCTCACCTCCCTGTGCCCTGATGAGCTGGAGTTATAAACCAGTAAAGAGGCCTAGCATTTCATGTCTGACTGGGTCTTTCTAATTACTGATGGCCATACAAGTTGGAGGAAAATTGAACTGTGAGAGGATTATCATGCTGCAAAGCTGCCAGATGGTGTCTGGAATTACCTGGAGAATAGATAACCATCGTTCTTTAAAGCCATGAGATCAAGATGACAGGAAGGTAATAGAGGTTGTTTTTACCATGTACACTGTGGCAGATCAGTTAGCTTTGCTAGCTTTGAGCAGTGGTTGTGGTGCTTTTCTTTGGTGGTGCGCGTGGTCAGTGGGCTTGAAGCCGTTCAGTGGTTTGGCTGCCACTGACACTTCTGAGAACAATGGCTGTTTTCATCAACAAATCAATTACAGCCACATAAACAGCAGGGATTATATTTTCATAAATTACACTGTATGTTCATCAAAGTCACAGGCCCATAGAAGATAGTCCAGATGATGATGTGCAGTGACAGGCTTCCAGTGTAGCTGGAAGTAGCCCCGTTGAAGTGAGTGGATGCCGGTATCTCCTCCTCGACTGCTGCTATTTATCAGCTTGGCATTAGCCTCAGCTGCTGCCCCTCCACACCGCAGCGGCTTGCATACAGCTTTCAAAATCCATGTGTTTTCAGGGTGGTAGGAAGGAAGACGTCTCAGTCAGAGGACAAGGGGGCTCTTTCAGCATGCCTCCTGGGCCCGGGTAGCTCATGTGTTTATATTTACTGTACGTTATGAGGCTTTGGGTGCGTGCCACCTCGCTGTTTCACTCCGGGCACCAAAATTTTACTCCACCCAGCCCCAGTTAAGGAGCACAAGGAGCTGTTTGATTCCCTTTATAAACCCAGCATGAAAAATAACTGTACTGTATATTGTTTGATCCCAATCGGCTGCCATGACTCTGTACAGTGCACCACAGCTGTGTCATTGACTGTTCTGTGTTATGTCTGCTCAGAGAAAGTAATGATTTGTATAGACCACTGCTAACGAAATGTGAATTGGGAGACTTCTGTGAGGCTGGGACGCTGCCAAGGCAAAAGGAGCTCGGTGGTTGTGAGCGTTGGAGAGGGGTACTGGGTTTATATGGCAGGGGCGGTATGGGGGAGAGGTTTCAGGCTGAGTTGTTTCACTTAGATAATATTGGATATTATCCAGCACGGTGGGCCAGGGAGCTAGAAACCATATTGGACTGGTTCAGGCGTTGCGCAGATGTTGCCCTATAACTCTGGAACATTCTGTGGTTATCAATTATCCAGCACACTCTTTTCAAACAAAGGCATCCCACGCATCCAGCTTTTCAAAGCACCTTTTTTGGGGCTCTTGAGAAGTTTCCTGGCAATAGGTAGTCGGGCACAGAAAGCAAATTGCTCAATTTAATCTTTTATCTCTGTAGTGATGTGAAAAATGATGAGTGAGTCAGAGAGAAAGAGAAACGCAGATAGACAGGAAGATCTGAAAAACATGTTTACCTCCCGTGGATTGACATCGACTGCGAAGGCTTCCCTTCTGGAGTGGTTCCCAAAGTGAAGCGAGCCAGCCAGGGAGAGGGAGAAAAGATAGAGACATACCAGAAGGTTGCATTTAATAGTTCTATGACTGGAAGTAGAATAATCTCATTATTCAGTGATGAAGTCAAAACCTTCTCAGTAGCTGAAGACGTTTTCCTCAGTGTGTGTTGACTGGATGTTTGGGTGAATAAATGGGACGAATGATTGCTGTAAAAATAAACCTTTGCAACATAGAAACAAGGCTCTCATCACTGACACAGACATCCTTCCACCTGAGAGAATCCTGGACGTCTTCCTGGGAGCTGCTTTCCTTTTTTGATTCTATTGTTTACAAGGAGGTTTCTTTCTAATTTAATTTATAAATGTTATGTGTTTTTGACTCATATTACCACTTGCTGGTGTGTGTACAAGCATCCCACATGTCTTCAACTCGCTGTCAGACATCGACTGCTCCAGTGATTGCTTTTGTTTTAGCTGTGTTATTTCAAAGGATTTGGATAATATTTCCTTGATATTTCCTTAAAGCTGCAAGTTTGGTTCTGAGAAATTCTTTTCTGTTTTCACCAGAACACCAGTCAGTCAATGTATTTGCAGTATCTAACCTAATCTAACTTCTGTTGTGGCCATGCACCGCTTCTATTGACTGTTGTTGTATAATAACAATGCAAAACCATGCATCGAAGGTGGACACAGCTGGTTCAGGCATGGCACGAGTTATTATAAACAACACACTGTGTATAAAGAATAGTTTGAGGCACAGCGTAATATGAATGGTAACAGGTGCTATTTGAAATATTAAATCTGGTTTATCTGGCTCACAGACGTCCAGAGAAAATTTTGTACTGAGACCGCAACTATGTCCCAGTTCCACAAACTAATTCGTAGCAGGTGCTACTGGAGAAGTGACAAAAATTAAATATACGCAACAAAGTCTTTAAAAACAAAAACAAATGTCTGAGACAGACTCTTGTCTGGTTGTGAGTTTGAAAACACATCTCCAAAATTAGCAGCTCTGTGTTCAGCTCTGCTTCTCCCCCTTAACTTGTCACTTGAGTTACTGGTAAGATGACAGCCCACTTTATCTCCGCCCTTTTCTGAGCAGCTATTGTGCACAGATTTCAGACATCCGGCTACAAAACTGTTTGTTAGCTTTTTTTTATGGTAGATGATCTTTCTTCGTCCTGGATAGCAGCAGCTAAAACTCCACAAATGACAGACACGGAGAAAGGGAAAGGAAAGGAAAGGGAAAGTGAGACAAAAACAAAACAGAGCAGTTCCATTGTCTTCTCAGACATAATAGAAACTGTCAGCGCCAAGCTGCACCTCCTCCATCTCTGCCAGCTCGCAGCTCTTGTCTGCGCAAACAAGTAGTTCCCCATCCATCCTCACAGTTAAATTCAGGCACTTTACTTCTCAAAGTGCAGACAACCTGTTGAGCAACACCTCACACAGTGTCTCATCAAATCATTTTCTTCAAGAAAATTTGACCACAGTTCACCTTTTTTTATTTAAGCTGCAGTTCTCGTTCCACATGAAGTCATTTTCACAGTTTTTTTAGGGCCTTATTAGTGAGTCAGAGGTATAAAGGAATTGCAATGGTTTCCTTCTGCACCCAATAAATTGGTGAAAATATAGTTTTGCTCACACGCCATTGGGCAGAATGGTAAATCAGACTTGCCTTTTTAGCAGGCCTGCAGCTCATATGTTGTGACTTTTTATTGCCTGATGGGAAAACGGCTTTATTGTGGCAAGTTTGAAGAAAAAAGACACATTACCAGAAGAGGAGAAAAATGCCATTTAACAATCATTATATGGGGATACCAGAAAGATTCCTGTGAGAACACAAGAAATAAGAAGTTTGAAAGTGGAGGCGGGTTGTCAGTTTCCATTTGTTGTGTATTAATGAGCCCACCAGCTGCTCGGGTATGTTGGGATTCCACACGGCGATGAAGTCAAGGGTTCTCTCATCCACCAAAGATGTCGCTCATGTCTTTGGTATGACTCAGACTTTTTAGCCTTGCATCAGATTTCTCTCCATCTCTGTGTGAATGTGTCGTCTCTTTCTCTCTGTGCGTCTCAGGTCTGTCAGAGCGAGGACATGAGCCTGTGGGTTGTGGGTTAGACAGGATGACATTTGTGACACCCTCCACTCCCTGTGGCTGTTTTATAAATCACTGGTGCAACACTTAATAGAAGAAAGTCATTCCATTTCTTCATTTTTGTTGGGAGCCAAGTAGGTGGATTGCTTTGTGGTTTATCATTACAAAACCATTTTTGTTCTCTGTCTCTCTTTATTTTTTAGACGGCCACCACCTCTGGGAGACTGAGGCCAAGGTTGAGAGAGATGCCTCAAAGCCTGTAAGTGATACATGTGACACTATTATCACGAAAAGTCTGCTCTCATTTCAAGATGAAAACAAGGATAAAGCAGCTGTTCTCAATCTTTTGAACTGAACTGCGGCAAAACATTTCACATGAAAAGAAATTGATGTTTAAATAAACTGAGTGGACAGTGAATGGAGCCCCACTATCTACAGTAGGTTTAGAGCACATCAGCACACATGATTCAGCCCTAAATGCCAAAACAATCTTAGTTATCTCAAGTGCTAAAGAATTCGTATGAAACTGTATCAAATGCATGAAGCTCATTGAAAGTGCTTCTCATAAAAGTCCCTACCAAAACTGTTCACGGTGCATTCTGAGGATTATCCAAACTAGCAGGGGTGCATTTTCTTTTATTATAATTTGGTGATATCAGATATATCAAAGACTCAAAACATGCTCAGTATATCCAAGGAACTGCCCGTGTGCCAAAATAAGAAATAACTGTTCTTCAAATCAGCATAAAAATGTTACTCCTCATTTCATTTAATCTGGAGATTGAACTTCATTAATAATGCATTTTGATCACTTTTATTCTTTGTTCCTTTATATGGGGCATTGCATAGTCATTAAAAATAACATTTAGAAAATATGTGGTTTTAAACCCAACGCTAAATAAAGAAAGGCCTCTAAAGAACATATGTGGGAAGATTGAAGCCACCCTCGTGCCAGCTGCTGCTTGGCTAAGTATAAAGACTGCAAACAGGAGGAACCAGCGAGCCTGGCTCTGTCCAACAGTAACAAATCTACTTATCAGCACCTCGAAAGCACATTATTGCTCAAACAGTTGCTTTTACAGCAGGTTAGGTTTGTTTTTGTTATGATCAGGCAGAGCCAGACTAGATGTTTATCCAGCTAACTGTTTCCTAGCTGTAGCTTCCACACTGACATGAGCATGGTACCAATGTTCTCAAATAAGCATACCAAAATGTTAAACTGTTTACATTCCCAACACAAACTTCATATGAATATTGGATGTACACACATTGGTCTAAGGACATACAGAGGTGTAGCTGGAATGCAACTGCAGATTTTCTTGACCTGGGGCAGGAGCCCTCCAGGGGAAACAGCAGTGTTGTGTTTGAAATGTGTGGAAAAGGTTTTCATAAGTTCAGCCTTGAACCAGTGGGAGTTTGAGCTTGGCAGTGTGTCCTATCTTGGCCTGGGACAGATGGAAGAGAGAGGGACAGAGCGAGAGAACTGAAGACAGCGGTGGTGGGAGTCTGGGAGAAAGACGAGGGGATTAGAGGGTGTCTACATGTGAGGCACTACACCTGCTCCCACTGTGTTCGCATTGCAAAACACACACTTTCTCTCTCACACACACTCGTGCAGTGACTGCTGGGACACATCTGTCGGCTTGAACAGACAAAAGGGCCTCTCTCTCTCTCACCACACAACCCAGTCTGCTGGATCAGCCCCATTTTAAACACTGACACCGCTTTGGCCAAGTTTAGCTTCTGCTCTTTCACTACAACACAGACCCAACCACAAATTCAGAATACCTCACCATCTCCATCACCTGCACAGACTGACCTCCCTCGAGAGGGAGGTGGATTTTGGATGATTTGGTGTAAATTTTAAGAATTATTTACAATTAGGTACATGAGATTGCTCATCTTAATGTCTCCAAGTGCACACTTAGGGAGTTAAAAAATGCTCCTCCATGCTCAAATTGTCAAATTTTTCTTCCTCCCTCAACATGAGCAAAATAGCTTTTGTCAGGTAAAAACATCGCAACATTAGTTTTTCTGATTTTCATCCTGTTTTACATAAATTTAAGGTCAGTCCGTTCCAAGTGAGCCAAGATGATTTTATAACACAACAGATGTGCACATAAAACATTCAATTGAATCATTTCACTTGTGCATGGCTGTGGATTAAAGCAATATCCTCTAAATTGATTTGCTGCAATTCCAGAGTCCTTATCAGCTAATTCTCTGAAGGGGCACAGTGGCTAAGAAAAGCAGAAAAGTCTCATCTGGCTTCACTTGGCTTTATAAATCATGTCACCTCTCACCTGTCAGTCGTCCTCCGAAGCACAGTTTCTGCACGACAGATGACTTCCTCAACCAGCTACTGAGCAACACCTCCAATACATACTGACGCACACATGCATAGGAAGACACGTGTCCACAAGCTGAACCCTTCCCTGCTGGCCTTCCCTCTCCTTAGACAGCAGGAAGCTCTGCTGGGGAAATAAACTATCCAGACACTCCCAGGTTCAGCTCATTCACATCAGCTGAGCTATTCACTATACAAACAACCAGCGTTCTCTATAACCATACTTTATGGTCTCTTTGTTGCTCCCTTGTTTGTTATTACAACCAGAATCTCATATTTTATCCACCGCCCCCTACACACACAACCTGAGGATTTCAAGGGAAGGAGACCAAGTACAATCTGGATCTATAATCCCCTTTGTTGATGTCTCTCCCGACTATCCCCACCAAACAATGACAGCAACAATACAGAATACTAATAAAAGGCGAAGCTTTGTGAATTAAAGAATTTTTGCAACTGAAATTGGGAAAAATAAATAAAAACTACAAAAAACTAACTACATCATCTCTATCCTTCTCACACCAAAAAAATCTCAAGGGTTAATGTGTATTTAATGTTCCTATTTGTGCCCTGCACAACTGCAATATAATGTAACTTCATTTTTCATGAATCTTTTTACAACGTAGCTAATGAATAAAGGACGCTCAGTTTGCTCCGTTTCTTCTTTGTATATACAGATAAATAGAAAAGGTAAATAAATATTAAAGAAGAAAGATATACATATATAAATACCTTTAACAGTGCATTACTTTATTACAGTGAAGTTGTTCAATGTGTTGCTTTACAGAATTTGCTCATGGTTGAAATCCCTCCCTATCGCAACCAAAGACTCTCGACTCCTGTTCGTGTGAACTTCTACGTCTGCAACGGCAAAAGGAAAAGGAGCCAGTATCAGTGCTTCACCTACGTCCCTGCCAGCGGTAAAGCTCTCCTTTTCTCTCTAACTATCGGACAGGTTCAGTGCACTGCTTGACACTTTTAAAGGACACAAGACTTTTGTGGTGGAGGCTGAATTTTGTAGAATTGTTTGGTTTGTCACAACTGGAAAAAAAAAATACAGATGTATTGTGTCTGATATTCACTGAGGATCTAAATAGACAGTATGTTAAGGAAGGGGGGAGCAGTTTTTCTAACCATTTAGCACCGTAAATCATGAATGTTTTGTTAATGACACATTTGGTGAAGCCTAAAAGCATTTAAGAGACAAACGGTAGTCGTGTCACTTTGCGTCTCATCCTTCTGCTTGACCAGCCCAGCACTTCACCAGTCTCCAGCTGCCCTTTGCCTTTCATACCCCAGACTAATTAGAAACACTTTTACCAGGATTTTACAAGATGAGAACAAACTGTAGTCCCGCTGGTCTGGTGGTTTGCTAGGGAGGAACAAAGCAATGCTTTTATTCCTCCATTGTAAAAAAAAAAATAAATCCATAAAATCTGTTCTTTTTCATACCTGTAGTTGCATGAATGCTGCAGTGACTGGACACACACGGGTGGGGAAGGGGCATGGGAAACCTGTTGCCAAGCTAAATATGAACACCGACCCACTAACCGAAATGTAAAAACCACTGCTAATTGCGCTGTGGGCTTGGAGTGAACCAGTGGGTGGTTCAAAGCTGTGAACTGGCCCAGCCCTGTGCGTGGGCGACGGAGTGCCCCACTGTGAAAGTGAAGCATTGTCCTTGGGATGCAATGAGTGTAAGGGAGGGACAGACTGGCGGACAGCTAGTCCGGTCAGTGTCTCCTGAAGGGTAAGTGCCACTGGGGCAGTAAGCCAGCTGGGTGAACAATACTATCTGCCAGCCCTGAAGAAAAGGAGAAAATCTGCAAAAGTTTAAAACATATGGGCAAATTGAATAAAAATATAGGTGGAAAATTATCAAAAGCTCAAATTTCAATAATGAGATGTAAATGAATTTCAGCTTTTCCAAGTTAATCACATCATGTTGAGTTTTTCTGCAGCAGCAGCAGGTGTGACAGTAGTTCATACAAAAACAGATTTATTTTGGTGCATATCGTACACACCTGACTTTTACACCCTGGAAACCCAGGGGCAGCTTCTTTGTTGTGGCAAGACAAACATTTGCACTACTGCTCCTTTCTGTGCATCTGCCTATCCTCCGTCAGCAGACAGTCACACTTCCTCCAAACAGGCCCAAAATAAGGGTGCGTGTGCTATTTTAGATGTGTGGTTGGTATATGCATCTCATCACAGTTCCTCTTTTACGGTTGTTGACAGTGTAGGCTTCAATGAGGCATGTCATGTTCTAGTTTCACTCTTTAAGTCTAACTAGACCCTTATTTAGCCTGGTACACCCTGTGAGGTTAAAAATATCCTTTTCAGGGAACTTCCCTAAGAAAGCAGAATTAGTGAAAACAAAGATGCACTTAAACAACAAATGTTTTCATCAGTAAGAGTTGCAGGAAGAATACTCTGAATAATTTATTACGTCAGCTTTGATTTCAAGCACATGCTTCATATAATCTAAAACAGCTTTACCACAAACTAAAGAAGAAATAGATCCAGCTTAGTGATGCAGTGCTGAGGCTCAGGGCCGCATTGGTGTTTAGCTGTAGCTGGACTGAAACGCATGTTATGTGTATAAGATTGATGTTGTATTAGGAACTGTAGCGAATTGATGTCCCACACGTTTTATGCTGGAATCTGGACAAGTGGCCAAGATCATAGTGACTGAGAACAAGTCCTGCTTTATTTGAACTCCATCTTTTTGTCTTTGGTTAAAAAGCAGCTCTCATATTCCGTTCAACCTTTTCTTTGTCTCAATGAGTGGGCAGTAATTTCTGTTAAATTACTGAACCCTGCTGAGTATGAAGCTGCTGCAGAAACATATTTCAGACGGTAGACTGAGTGGATTTTTGCACCCAAGCTAGATCCAAAGAAAATAGGTCTTTTAGTAGAGAAGCAGCGGAGGTTTCTCGTGTTGATGAGTCATCCCTACTCTCCTGCTTTTTTCTAGTTTTGTGAATCTTTTCATTGGGGTGTGGGAGCTCAGGCCCAGACACAGAGACTCATTGATGCGAGATTGTTTGTTTGGCAGCGGGTATCCTAGCCACAAACCCACTCACTCACTCACACTTGCAGGAAGGCTGGAATACGTGTTTCTTCATTTAGCTCTTTCTCCTTCTGTTTTCCTTCCTCTCAGTTCCAACAATAAAGACGGAGCCACATGATGACTATGACGCCCCCTTGGTGTGCATCCAGCATGGCTCCACACCATCTTTGAACCCAAAGCCATACTTTCCCCCACAGGTCATGATCCCGATGATGACCTCTGACCTCAGGCAGTGTATTGTAGGCGGGGCTTACCCTATCAGCCAGCAGAGATTGGCAGCCAAGCCCTCCTTGCTGCCCTCCTCCTCCTCTCCGAGTACCAGCCCCAAACTGCAAGACCTGTCGCCATCACCCTTCTCCAAGTGCCTCCCTGCCAGCCCAGCAGTCCCACACCAAAGCCCCCAGTCTCCGGTGTCTCACATCTCCATTATCCAGGAGACTCCCGGGCGCTACCAGCCATCCAGCAGCTCCTCCCCGAGCTCGCAGTCCTCCACCTCGACTGACGCTCCCTTTTCTCCAGCCCAGTGCATGACACCAGCCCAGCCAGTCGGCAGCAGCACCAGCCCAGGGGCCCAGCAACACCCCAAGGTGCCAGAGAGAGGGCGGTGCTCCCTGCAGGAGGACAGCAGCCCCCCAACACTGGCTGTCAGCATCAAGCAAGAACCACAGGAGCTGGACCAGATGTATCTGGATGATGGTGGGTGAAAAACGTTTTTACTAAATTATTCTTATTTTGCTAATCTAATGCATGGAAAAGAAAATTATAAAGCAAACAACCCATCCAACCCCCTAATTAACTAAAGAAAATATTTTTATTGTCCTCCAACATAAAATGAACATAATATAGCGTTGATCACATTTTTGATCATTATCATATGACTCACTAATCACTTTTCCAGGAGCTGGAACATATGACTTTCAAAACTCAGTATGTGCCTTTTGTTTTGGAATAAATTCTCTCATCCATAATTATTTAAGAAAATAGTTCAACATTTTGGGAAAGTGCTTATTTGCTTTGTTGCTGAGAGTTTGGTACCACTCTCATGTCTGTATGGTGCATATAAAGCCAGTAGTCAGTTATCTTAGCTTAGCATAAAGACTGAAATTAGCACATTTTATTTTGCTTGTTTAATTTGTACAAATCCCCAATTCACACCTTACTTGAAAAGAGGTTTTGAGAAATCCTGTGCTTTTACAAATTCTCTCCATTTTGTGGTATTTTCCCCCCCCACTGCTGTCAGGTTTCTTTGTCATCTAACATCTGAGGCAATTAGATCAGAGAAGCCTGGTGGTCGCGTACTAGATATATTTGGCTTTAAACCCTGAATGAGGCAAGTCTGCTCAAAGTTCCTGGAGAAAATAAATGCACTTCTTTGCAGCCCCCGCTTTATATCAGAGCAAGCAGGATTTCAGGAGCATAAACTTTATGATCTCACTGCTCTGGCCCTCTGCGCTCACTGCTGAGGTTCAGGGGCCATGTGCTCTGCGCCGTGATGATTTGAAATAAATTAGATAAATGATCTTCCTTGGGGCAAGAAGAAACATTTCCTGGCTGTATGTAAGTCCCAGAGAGGAAAGGAGTGCAGCAGATGAAGAAACACTAAGCAGCAGCTATCAGCGGGGCTTTGATCCAGCACCAGAGCCCCTGCTGAATCGTCTGGCCCGGCTTCCTGACGATAGCGAATTGTTGGACCTTAGACTGCAGGACTCAGTCTGTTCTCATGCCACTTCCTCTGAACAGTCTGGCCAGATACGTTAACACTTGTTGGTCCTGTCTGCACAGATTTTGGCTGGAGCTTGAGATTAGATTTGTAATTATATTGTATGTGGTGCTACCACTACTTGTGTCTCTCGAGGATTTCCAGGTGTAGTAAACGTTTGAAAAAAGTATTAAAGCACACCACAGAGAACTGCTTTCTTTGGCAACTTGAAGTACAGTATCCTAAACATTCCAAACTTCATGTGGCTTCTTCCTTAATTAATACCTTTGGCAGAGTTTGATACGACTTTTCGCTCGGCCTCACTCAGGTGCAGTGTAAAGGGTTGAGCTGCTGATTCTCACAAAACATATTCATTAGAAATAGGACTGTATGTGTTTCAGGCTGATTTGAGGTCAGACATAAATAATTTAAGTGGATAATTTGAAAGCATGAATGCTTAACCACTTCTCTGTCAAGTTACCAGAGTAAATTTCATTTATAACTGACAGTGACACTCAGGTGTTTTTGATCTCCCAGTTTGTTGTTGCCCTTTTGTCTCATATCTGTTCTCTGTTTGTTCAGCCCTCTCATATTCATCTTTAAATATTTTATCACGCCCTCCCCTGAGAGGTTACAAACATGTCTGCTAATGGAAAGTCTGAATCGTGCTCTTTGGCCTCAAGCTGAAGCTATAGGCTGCAGGATGCACACAGTCCAAGCTCCACCACTGCTACATCTGAGGGCAATGGAGGCCGTCCACGCTGCCATAAAACTCGCTGACTGGAGAGGTTGCATGCATCCCTCTGGCTCACAGAGAGTCTGGGAGCAGCGGCCAAAGCCATGCGTTATACTGCACAGTAATGGGTTGAATACTTTTGTCAGTGGTGAGGTAACATGAGCGAAACAAGCATTTTGATGTCAGATCTGATCCAAGTAGCAAAATGTTTTTATGGTGTGCTGTGGCCTTGTTAGACACTGGAGCTGTACAACTGATGACCTGAGAGTTGAGATAATCATAGGAAAGGTATTTAACATTAAAATTCATTTGCATCCTCAAATTATTTGCAGCCACAGTCTGTAAAATCAAGCAATATTTATCATTCATTGGTATGTTAAAGTGATCATATGACTTTAGCTATTTCACTAATGTGTTGCTCAATATAATGAGGACCCAGAAAATATTATTTTTGTAGGCCAACCCAGAAGTTGGCATCACCCTGGTTCCCCTTGACAAAAAGCCAGGGGGATTTTTTTCAAAGGCTTCTGGATTAACAAAGAAAATAAGATCTGTGTCAAACAATAGTTTATGACACTTACACATATTGTTCAGCAAGATAATCTTAATTATTTCTATGATTTTTGAAGCCTAAATACAATGGACAGAAATAAAAAGCTATTGTTAGGCTAAAAACAAACTACACCACGGCCCCATGACTTCAGCGTCGCCGCCACAGCTTCCAAATTATTATTTGATTTACAGCATTTAGCTCTTCTACAAAATCCTTTCCTTTTAGTGTGACCTGATCTAGCTAGTGATCAGGACTTTGTCAGCTAGAATAGTTTGCAGGTGTGCAAGTTTAAAAATAATGAGACTGTAAAGGCGGACTAGTGAGTGGATTCATCTCTTTGTTCAGCATGATGACATTTAATATCCCAGTCAGTTGAGGCTGTCATTGCAGATATTTGTGCATAACCCAACGTATTGATGAATTAAATTTTGGCCTGATTATGGCGCCAGATGAAATGTCAGAAGATCACCAGAGTCAGGATTCATTGTCTGATGAGCTTCAATATCTGGACAAAGTTTTATGGCAATCCACCCAGTAGTTGTGGAGATATTCTTACCAAAGTGGTGGACCCACAACAGAAACAGTAAATAGGTCATACCTATTGTAGAGCTGTTGCATTAGAACAGAAGTTTTCATTTTATAGTGCTCTGTGGATAAAAGAGTGTTGTCACTGTGGTGATATTTTGCTGAAGGCTTCTCCCTCCTTTATTCTTTTTTTTCTTGAGGCCTGTAAAGTTTCCAAACATGCTATCATCCAGACGTTTTCTTTTTAAATAATACCTGGGCTTCAAACAATCTGGC